TGATTCTATTTAAAGAGACACCATTGGTTCACCTGACTCCCAGAGGACTCAGCACTGAGTGATGGTCCTTACAGCGATCCCTCACCATCTTTGAAAATTTTATCTCCCTTCATCAGCCAACTCCATCACACACTATAGAACCACACAATGGTTTGGGTTGGAAGGGACCTTAAAGCCCACCCAGTGCCACCCCCTGCCCTGGGCAGGGACACCTCCCACCAGCCCAGGTTGCTCCAAGCCCCGTCCAAGTTGGCATTAGAATCCAAAGCGAAACTGATGCTCTAGAATGAGTTTTAAACATTACAACCAGGGACATATAATGGGGAGAGGCAACAGAACAGAGAGAGGCAGGACAAACGTTGGCAAAAGTCACCTCAGAATCGTACCGGAATGATCCCACCACATCCCAAAGTCACTTTTGACTTAAGTCACATCATCAAATATACGTTTTTCTTTCAAAAACTTGGTAACAATCATATCCCTTTTACATTTGCAAGCATGTTTCAGTTCATTGCAGAAGAAACTCAAAGCTGTTCTTCTTTCAGAAGGAATCCAGGAGCTGCTTGGGGCTGTTCATGCCAAACCCCCCACCCTCTCACCACCCATGGCGGGAGCTCAGGTCTACCCTCAGCAAAAACCATCTACTTGGGCTTTGGCTCCAGAAAAGCAGACACAGTGAATATCTATTTTTGGCTCTTGGACAGGAAAATGGGATGATCCTTACCTCATCTCTCTTTCTTCGTGCTGGGCGATGAGATTGCTGTAGAAGTTTTCTAACGTCACCTTTGTCATCGTAACGCGCTCCTTGGTGTGGTTACTCATGGAGGAGCACGGAGTGGGGCCTGTCATTGCCATGGCTATTAGGAAAGAAAAAAAGGGAGGCAACGTTTAACATTAGAAATGATAAATAACCTTCCAACGAGAGCTGCAATCAATTAAGTGATGCTGAATCACACACATTTTGGCAGCGAGCGCCAAGGGCCCCGTTGCCTAAACGAAGACGAAGTAGGGAAAAGTCTTACAAAATAAAAGGTACCAGTCAAACTTCCTGTTTTGAACATTTTTGATCTGAAAATAAGAGGGAAGGAAACTTAAGAAACACGGTGCCTCAAAAACCACAATTTCAGGCAGCGCTGCAAGTGTTTGTTTCTCCCGAGACGTATTTTATCTTCAATAAATGTTAAAAAATCAGAAAGGCTGCGCTGAAACATCTCATCCCAAAGTTCCCCCTTCCTTTGGCCCTGTGGGAATGACTCCCTCTGCCTCCTCTGCTCCTGCTGTTTCTCAAAATCCCCAGAGCCATCTGATAAGGGAGCAATTGAGGAAGGAGAAGAAAAAAAAAAAAGGGCATTTTGTTGTGTTTAAGCACTCTCGCTTTTAGTGGGCGCTTTCACACAGAAATTGGGCAAAGTCCCCATCCCTGGATGTGTTCAAGAGTCGTTCGGGCAAAGTCCCCATCCCTGGATGTGTTTAAGGGTCGTTTAGAAGTGGGGTTGGGGGGTGTGGTGTTGGGGAGAACTCTGTAGAGTAGGGTAGGGTATGGTGTTGGGGAGAACTCTGTAGAGTAGGGTTGATGGTTGGACTCGATGATCCCAAGGGTCTTTTCCAACCTGAACGATTCTATAATTCTATGAAAACCCAGAGGAGCCACTGCCTTGGAACAAATTCTAGTTTAAGGAGAAAAAAACCCTTAAGTATCCCACGTTTTTACACTGGGTTACGTGTCAGCACTTCCAACCGGTAGCTCAGCTCTACTTGCTAAAAATGCCTTAAAAATGTGCAGATTTCAAGCGATAAACAACTTCTTTGCCTGATTTCTCCCAGTGACCCCATAACTCAGACAGGTATAACCCCGTTTTACAACTATCACTAGAAATTGCAGTCCCGAGAGGGGGTCAGAGCCCAATTGCCCAATTTTTTTTTGATGAGTTATTCTTTTCTGTTTGCTTTTTGCAGATGGAGAAAAAAACCCTTAAGTATCCCACGTTTTTACACTGGGTTACGTGTCAGCACTTCCAACCGGTAGCTCAGCTCTACTTGCTAAAAATGCCTTAAAAATGTGCAGATTTCAAGCGATAAACAACCTCTTTGCCTGATTCTCCCAGTGACCCCATAACTCGGACAGGTTTAACCCCATTTTACAACTATTACTAGAAATTGCAGCCCCGAGACGGGGTCAGAGCCCAACTGCCCAATTTCCCCGAGCCCTTTGATGAGTTATTCTTTTCTGTTTGCTTTTTGCAGATCTTTACGAGGCATCGTTTTATTGTCCCTTCGCAAACGGGGTCCTTTACAGCCCCCGGGTGTTTCGGTGCCCGCGTTTCGCTCCCGGTAAAGGTAAGGTGGGAGCCAGTGGGGGATGGCGGGGACCCCCCCCAGCTCTGTGGTTTTTTTGGGGGGATGGAGCTCTGTTTTTATTCCAGAGGAGCAGCTCCCAGTGCCACCACGCTCTGCGGGCACAGGGGGGGTGGCACGATTCATCCCATCCCTCTGGCTGTCACTTCCCAGAGAACACAACGGGAATATTATCCGGTAGAACTGGGTTTTACTGG